GAAAAAAATTCCCAAAAAGGAGAAAAATAAAAAAAAAAAAAAAAAAGGAGAGAGAGAGAGAGAGAGAGAGAGAGAGAATGGAATCTCACTCAGGATGTGCATGACTAGTCTTCCTTATAGGTAGGTAGGTAGTTCTATCCTTAAATTACGTGAACATTTGCAGAATCTTTACTAGTTTGTCTTCACAGACTCAGGATGACCTAGGGGTTCTCACACAAATAATTTCTTATCTCTTACAGCTTTAGCTGGGGTTTTTGTCATTCAGCATTTGTACAGTGGTTTTGGGTTATTTTCACTTTTTGGCTCTTATGATCAATGCTACTATTAACAGTTACACGGACATGTTTTATTTCCCCTGGGTATTTACTTAGGAGTGATATTGCTGGACATAGAACAACCGTGTTTAAACTTTGGAGGAATGTTTTCCAAAGGGACTGGACCACTTTACATTTTCACTGGCCGCAATTGAGACTTCTTATTTCTCCGCATCTTTGTCAACACTGGCATTACCTGTCTTTTTATTTCAGCTATTGTAATGGGTGTGAGGTGGTATGTCCTTGTATCTGCATGCATGTGAGAGGCAGACAGAAACATCCTTGACAGGGTCTTGTCACGTTGCTATCCACCACTCCCAGCCCTCCAGTTCTTTAGGATCTAGAGTGTTGCTGTCCATGCCTGAGCCCAGCATGTTTCAGGCTCACAGGGCTGGAGAAGTGAACCTGTGGTCAGCCATGTTGCTTCCTGCACAGCAGTTCAGTAAGCTTCTGACAGTGCCATGTAGGCCAGGCCTTCTTGTGATTTTGACTTGCATTTTTGTGATAATTCGTGATGCTACGCATCATTTCATGTCCTATTTATTGTCTTTGGAGAAGTGATTAATCAGATATTTTGCCCATTTTTTAATGGATTTTTTAAATTATTGTAATACATTATTATAAATGAATTTTACACATAAAATTGATGGTCAGTGATTGTGGCTTTAAGGATGTAGTAATTGCAGAACAAATATTGGGTTGTTGGAAAAGTCATGCCATTTTGGCATAGGAAAACGAACAACCGTGTTTAAACTTTGGAGGAATGTTTTCCAAAGGGACTGGACCACTTTACATTTTCACTGGCCGCAATTGAGACTTCTTATTTCTCCGCATCTTTGTCAACACTGGCATTACCTGTCTTTTTATTTCAGCTATTGTAATGGGTGTGAGGTGGTATGTCCTTGTATCTGCATGCATGTGAGAGGCAGACAGAAACATCCTTGACAGGGTCTTGTCACGTTGCTATCCACCACTCCCAGCCCTCCAGTTCTTTAGGATCTAGAGTGTTGCTGTCCATGCCTGAGCCCAGCATGTTTCAGGCTCACAGGGCTGGAGAAGTGAACCTGTGGTCAGCCATGTTGCTTCCTGCACAGCAGTTCAGTAAGCTTCTGACAGTGCCATGTAGGCCAGGCCTTCTTGTGATTTTGACTTGCATTTTTGTGATAATTCGTGATGCTACGCATCATTTCATGTCCTATTTATTGTCTTTGGAGAAGTGATTAATCAGATATTTTGCCCATTTTTTAATGGATTTTTTAAATTATTGTAATACATTATTATAAATGAATTTTACACATAAAATTGATGGTCAGTGATTGTGGCTTTAAGGATGTAGTAATTGCAGAACAAATATTGGGTTGTTGGAAAAGTCATGCCATTTTGGCATAGGAAAACAGAAAAAAAAAGTCATGACTTTTCCAACAACTGAATCAAAACAATGAATAATACTTGATATATTTTTTAGGGCTATTTGTGGCATCTGGTGGATTGTAGATCATTTGATCATTCTCTTCCTTCTTTTCTTAGGAGTCTATTTTGCAGCTCTGGAGTTTTTATAGAATACTGTAAACAATTGTCAAAGTTGTTTTTCAAGGAACAGAAAAAGTTGTGACTTTGTCCTAGTAACAGACTTTTACAGTTGCAGTCAATGCCTAACGTTGCAGAAACAGAAAGGTCAAATGATTCTGGAAATGGTGAGCACAAACCTGAGAGAAAGTCTCCTGAAGAGAGTCTACAAGGTGCTGTAAAATCTTTCTGTACAAGTGCCTCAGGAGCACCCTTGAGTTCCAAAGGAGATGGTCATTATCCGTGGAGTTGTCCAGTGACTCATACTCGGGAAAAAATTTATGCCATCTGTTCGGACTATGCCTTTCTCAACCAGGCCACCTCAATCTACAAGACTTCAAATCCAGCCCGCCCTTCTTGCCTCCCTGATAATACCTCTTTATCTGCTGGAAGTAATTCATCAAGATACATTGGTATCCCTACGAGTACATCAGAAATAATCTACAATGAAGAAAATAGCTTGGAAAACTTATCCAATAGCCTGGGCAAGCTACCTCTCGCATGGGAAATTGACAAATCTGAATTCGATGAGGTGACCACAAATTTGAAACACAAATCAGGTAAGGAAGGCACCATGAAGTTCATATGAGAAAACAAACACTGTGTCTTGCATATTCTTGCCCTTTAACTCGTTTTCCTTTTATAATACTGGACAAGGGACATTGCTATCATCTTGTCTGTCATTGTAGTTAAAAAAAAGGAATTTGGACATAGGACATTTCGTTTGTGAATTTGTTGCCACTGGAAATTTTAAGCATAACCTTTACATTTTGAGAGCTTCAAAAATCTAAGAATGCTATAAAATACAGATATTATAATAAATGCATAGTAGCTTAGACAAAGTTAATGACATGGCTGAGCAACATACTAGTGTATGTATGATTTTCAGGGACATGAAGTCATACTTCCTGATTAAACATCTAGTTTTCTCTTCTGTGTAACATTCTGGCTTTTCTGTTGTTAACATTTTTTGAGCACCTAGCCAGACTTCCATGTACTACTGAATAGGTTGTGCCCTGTGCAGTTTAAGAGGGCACTGTTCGCCTGTGTATACATGTCCTCCTCAACTGCCATGAGTGGTCCTTTGGCAGATACTTCTACTTTTGACTTTTCTTTTGAACTTTCAATAACACAGGAGTTCTCTTAGGTAGATAGTCTTTTCCCCATTTTATAAGTGAAGAAATTGAGGCTTAGGAGGGATAAGTCTCTTGCCCAAAGTTACACAGTTAGTAAGAGGTAGAATTTATATTTATATTCTACCTCTGGGCTTGCCTCTGATAATTTTATAAAACTCCATTCTTTTGTAAAATCATCTTGTTTCACAGGTGTTATGTAAATTTATAATTTTCATAGGTGTGAGAGGGATTTCACTTTGTGTCTGTATTTATGAGTAATGATTCTGTAATCTCCTCTTTTATAATGTCTTTCTCTGTTTTTTCTTTTTAAATTTTTGCCATAGTGCATGTGCACTCAACAGTGAGAGAAAGAGGAAGAGAGAGAGAGAGAGAGAGAGAGAGAGAAGTCCCCCAGAAGGTGATCTCTCTCTCTCTGGGGGACGGCCACACAGCGGTCTCCTCTCGGATTGTTTTTTTCCCACAGTTATAACATCACTGTTTTAATATCATGAAATACAAGTACAAAACATGGTACAAATATGCTTCTTACTACAAGGAAATGAAATCATACACTTGTGTTTTTACCAGAACCTGTATTGCCCAATATTAGCCACTGTATCCCAGTGGCTATCCACAGGGATTTTATTTTTTATTATTCCTATGAGGTTTTATTACGAATAAAAAAGCTCATGACTCGTTTCAACCATTGCAGATTTATAGTGATCTTAATAATATTCTGTTCAAGATGTTTGGAGAACTGTTGAGAAATATAAGATCATTTTAGCCAAGAGTATTGTAGGGATATTATTTCACGTTGGCCAAGATCTCCATTATGTTGGCGTTGCAAAGACATTATGCACTTACTTGGGGCTAGAAAAAATGTTGTCTCAATAGCCCTCTTACTGTGTAGGAAGGCTAATTACCATTTTCTGCAAAGCCCAGGCTATCATAATATAATAGTCATTGGTTAAGCAGTCATTTACAAAACCCCATTTACAGAAGACAAGTAACAGCAATGGAGGATCATGAAATCCCCCAAGTGCTAAAGAAAAATAAGTACAAATATTCAAACTGTCTGTCTTTCCTACTTCTCAAACAATGCAACCTCAAGTGAGAGTAATATCAGCCAAGAAAGAAGAAGTTAACCAGGCTAGTGTCCAGAGAATACCTCACAGTTTTCGGCCATTTCAGCTAAGCGTTTTCTTATGACAGACAAAAAAAATGGTGAAAGCAGCATTAACTTTGCTTGGAAATATGAGAAAAAAAATACTAGTTTAAAAATATCAAAACATTTTCTTTTATAAATAGATAAAAGTATGTTAATCTTTTTTTAGGTTTTAAACATCATTCTTACTGTTAAAAAATCAAAGTTGTGTCAATCTTCAGGAATAAAGATTGGGGAATTTAAAATAACATGTCCAGAAAACTGAACCTTGTTTCTAATTGCCAGCATTATGCTTTGTTCTTTGTAGAATCATTTTTGTGTCTTCTTTTCACACCCCATTTATAAATCCTAGCCATAGTGACTTCTGTGGTAGTAAATTGATCTCAAAGAAAGTCAAGGTCTTTCTCAAGAGAATCAAGATTCTTTTGTGGCAGTCGATAAGTTCTTTTCCAACAATGCCTGAGCTTCATCAATATCATATTCAAGCATTACATTAGCCCCCAACCACAGACCACTTTATCGGTAGGAGGAACTGAAGCTTTGCAGAACAGGTTATCTGCCAGCAAGAGTCTGGTCTCCAGTGAACTGGTGGACTCTTTTTTCTTCTGCATATACTTTAGAATTTCCAAAGTCTGTTTAATTTCAGGAATCTGACCTTTAAGTCTTCTTTTCTTTTGAGCAAGGTTGAATTCCATGAACTTATACTTCTGATATTGTTTATCCGTCTTCTTTAGTACTATATCTGCAGTCTCATTCCCAGGCTGTTTCATGAAGGAATCTACATTTTCCACAAACATGGCCTCAGGAATCCCCAGGTGCAGCTGCCGGCCATTCCCTGTGGCCATTTGTCTAGTGCCACTACCCTCCTTAGCTGTTGCCATCTTGGGAAAGTTAGTGTGCGACTCTCCTCTTGGAATTTTTGGCATTCATGTACATGTGCTCAATGTGATTTTCAAGCCACTAAGTCTGGGACTCGAACCATGATTTGTCATGTGGGAGTCCAGCACCTTAACCACCACACTATCTGCTGGTCCTCTCAGTTTTTACTTTAGGGCTATACAGGTTTCCTAAAACAAGTTGAGAAGTATTTTCTGATGGTTTTCAGAGGGATGTTAAAGTCTGTAACTATAATTATGGAGTCATCTTGATTTCCTTTATTTTCTGACAAATTTTAGATCAGGGACAAAAAATTGTATTATCTCCCCAATGTCTATAGAGCCTTTAGTGACAGCTCTTCTTTTGTTCCTGATATTAGTAACTCATTTTTATTTCTTTTATTTTTTATTTTTTAATTGTCTAAAGTGCATAGATTGCCAAAAAGGGGCAGAAAGAATGAGAGAGAGGGAGAGGGAAAAAGCACTACCCTAAGGGTTGTGGTTATGCTATAATATTTTCTCTTCTAATTCTCCATCCCATTAGGATTTGGGGTACACATGCACATGCATCTGGTATGTTTTACAAGTTCCTGAAACTGACATTCCAACTGCATGAGTGGCCATGTGGGATCTGGCTCCCTTAACTCTAGGCCACAGGGCTGGTCCTTCCTTTTTACTTGATCTGTCTATAATGATTTTTATCAGTTTTGATTGTCTTTTCAAACCAGCTTTTAGCTTTGTTAATTTTCTCAATTCTTTGTTTTCTATTGCATTTGTTTCTGCTCTTTACTATTTTCTTCTCTTTTTCTTACTTTGGGTTTACTTTACTCTTCATTTTTTTGACTTCTTAAGGTGGAAGCTTAAATCACTGATTGAAGACTTTTCTACCATAAGCCCATAATGCTTTAAATTGCTCTCTTAGGTATTTCTTTTGTTGTAGCCCCCACATTTTGTGACTTAATTTGAAGAATTTTCTAGCATCATTTGTTATTTCTTCTTTGGTACATGGATTACTTAGGTAATCCATGCTGTTTAATTTCCAGATACTTGTTTTTTTTCTCAATATTGATTTATAATTTGATACCATTGTGGACAGAAACCGTATGATTTCAGTCTTTTTAAATGCTCTGAAATTTGTTTTATGATCCAGCATATAGTCTGTCTTGGTGAATGTACCATATACACTTGAAAAGAATGTTCGTTCTGCAGTGCCTGGGCGTGTCTCTAAATATTAATTAGGTCAGTGTTTAAAGTGTCGTTCACATCTTCTGTGAACTTCTACTTAAATTTTCTCTTTGTTCTATCAGTTTCTGAAAGAAAGATGTTAAAAATTGCTAGCTATGATTGCGGAGCTGTCCTTGCTCCACTAAATTCCTTTTCTTAAGTACACATTTAAAAATTATGGTAAGTTACACATAACATTGGCCATTTTAAGCATTTTAAGCGTACATCTAGTGACATTAGTATGTTCATATTGTGCAGCCATCATTCCTGTCCACTTCTGGGTCTTTTCATTTTGCTAAATTAAAGTACTATATCAATTCCACACTCACTCCCCATTCCCTCTTGCCTCACCCCCTGCTAATTCCATCCTACTTTCTGTCCCTGTGATTTTAACGACTCCAGGTACTTCACAGATGTGAAATTATACCGTATTTCTTGTGACTGGCTTATTTATAGTCACCTCTGCACTCTTTTGGTTACTATTTACATTGAATATCTTTTTTTCATCTTACAATTTTTTTCCTTTCAAGTTTATTTATTTATTTCTTCTGTGACTGAGAGATAGAAGCTCCCACAACTGGCCCTTTATGCTATAATGCCTTGCTTTCTGTCTCTGCCTCTGCCCTCCACATCTGCCTCAACAGGCTGGATCACAGGCATGTGCTTGCCTGCCCAGGGTGCTTAGGGAGGACTTGGGACATGAACCCAGAACCTTTCTCATGTGTGTCTAGTTGTGTTACTGCTGTGCCATCACTCGGCCCCTCCACCTTCTACTTTCAATCTAATCATGTCTCTAGATCTCAAGTGAATGTCTTGTAGACAGCATATAGTTAGATTACTTTTTTTTTCCTTTGGGGAATGGCTATGCCGCAGTCCCTTCTCCATTCTTTTCTTGGTATCTTGGGTATGCAAGCACACACGTCTGGTGTGTTTTTCAAGCCACTGGGGCCAGGATTCGAACTGCAGTCGGCTGCTTGAAATCCTGCTGCTCTACTATACCACAGGTTGGCTTGTAGATCACTTTTTTCTTTTAATCCATTCTGCCAACCTCTGTCTTTCAAGAATTTAATCTATTTATGTGTAAAATAATATCCCTAACAAGGAACTTACTTCTGTTATTTTGCTATTTGTTTTTTATAGGCTGTATAGCTTGCTGTCCCTCACTTAATACATTATCATCT